ATTATTATTATTATTATTATTATTATTATTATTATTATTATTATTATTATTATTATTATTATTATTATTATTATTATTATTATTATTATTATTATTATTATTATTATTATTATTATTATTATTATTATTATTATTATTATTATTACCCCACCTCAATACCCAAGTGAATATCTTTAGAGAGCCGTACTATGATAGAGGTACAAAAGAATCCTCCTCCAAAGAATGAGATATCTATATCCTATAAAATAATAGCAATAAAGCTATAAGAGTAGATGCCAACATTCTTCCTCTAACCAATGATGATCTCTTGAGTGTCCCCCCATGACATAGCAATACACTACTACCCTTGCGTATTTTAAGCATCCAAATCCTAAATAAGGCAAGTCACAAGCTAGGGTTCATTTAATTAATGAGCTAGGGGGAGGAGGTGTAATGTGTGTGTTGGCTCCCATGCCATTTTCATGGTGAAATCAACCACCCACTAATCTTTACTTACTTGAACTTGCAAATGCTTGGATCTTACTCACAAATAAAGGACACGTGTCCTAAAGATGAGGGGCCAAGATCATGTATCTAGACATCATGTATTCCTCGATTGCAAAGAGGTGGCCTTAGGAGGGAGGGTTCTCTCATTATTCTAGCTCCAAAAGAACCCATAATTGGAAGGCGTTTCTCATTATTTTAAGCACAAAAACCCTACCTTGGTCTCCCTCAGTATCAAAAATCCTAGATCTTCCACTCGAATCGAGGGAGGATTAGCAAATACCCTTGCTTTTCAAGGAAATAAGAGGGTGCCCTTGCCCTATTCCATGCTAATCTTTTTGGAACTTGAATTTTACAAAATAAAACCCTTAAATACTGCACTTCTATTCTAGATTTCAAATTGCATGATTATTATGGTTCAACCATAATGGCCATGCAAAAAAATACAGAAAATGCTATTCTATAGTGTACTATTTTTGGAAAAGCATATCATGATATTATTTATTTATTTTCAGTATAAAAACGTCACAATCACCCACAATAACTTGATGTGAAATCTAATAGCCTCTAATTAAGCCCGAAGTCCCAAAAGAAGTTCTCAAACTTTCTGACACATTCTAAACTGTCAGATTTCATATGACTAGTAATAATTGTGACCTTATTGTAACAAATATAAAAATATATAATCCCAAAAAATTCTCTAATTCTTTCCTTAGTAGCATCCAATTCAACAAATTAGCAAAAAAATTTATTCTGTTCATGAAAAAGGGACATGTTTTAGTAGCCAACTCGAACACCTAAAAAAAAGGCATTTTCATTATCTCTTAAAAAAATCAAGGGCATTATGGTCATATCCCTTCGATTCTATCCGAAAGTGGGATATCGATGACTGATAAAGATGGGGGAATTGATTGAACTTGTTAAGTATAAATATGTTTAGTTCACCATGGAGGAGTTTGTCCATAAAAGGTTGTCTCTTCTTTTTTGTTGGAATTGTAAGCACTTGTAATGATGTGTGCCTCTTGGGGGTGGGGGAGCCTGGGGGATGAGGTTAACAGAAGGGGCCCTTGGACAGCTGAGGAAGACAAGCTTCTCATCCAATACGTTAGAATGCATGGTGAAGGGAGATGGAATTCAGCTGCAGAGTCAGTAGGTAATAATTCTCTGTCTTAATTTCTTTGAACTCTTTGGATTTATGTAACTGAAATCTTTGAATCCCCTAGTCCTTGAAGTTTGAACTCTGAACTTGAATTTTTGAATTCAAGTGTTGGACCTGTGTGTGGCCCTTGGGCTCTAACAGTCTTCTTATTTATCATGAGAGGCTCAACAACAGTCTTCTTATTCATATGAGTAGTTCAATATCATTGGGTTGAGGCTTTGGACTTTAACTTCTTAGCTAAGAGGCTGAAAGCTAAAGATTCATTTTAAAAAGAAAAGAAAAAGAAGCCGAAACGCAAATGAGATGTACTATTTTGACAATTGGATGTGCATAACTGCTCAAGTAGGCTAGAGTCTGCCCCATTGCATTAATGAGTATTTTAAAGGAAAAAAGTCTTCAAATGCTATGTATATCTCACCATCTAAGTCTTGTCGATCACAATTATTTTGGATCAGCTATAAGAATCATGTTCCACCATTTCGCTCTATTAAGGGTCATATTTTTCGGGATTGTATACAATGTGACGATTTACCTTTGATAAAAAGATGTCACAATTACTTGCAACCATCCATTGTGAAATTTAATAGCTTGGGCGTATCACAAAGTTTGAAAAATTTTATGTAGAACTTCGAGTTTGGTCAATGGAATAAACGCAGCTGCAACTTCACATTCAATAGTTAGATTATTTGTGACTACCTTGTACCCAAGGTAAATGGCCCCAATGTATATTTTTTCTATCCTCAATTAGACCATAAGTCACCGTTTCTCTTTTCACTACTTCCATAATGTCGTTTTGGTCTTTCTCCTTGTCCTCCTAGAGCTTTCAACTTGAACCAAATAGCCTCCTAACCATTCTAGATCACTTTTGTACATAGTTTATGGAACTAGAAAGGAGGAAACAACAATTCACACTGAGTTTATTTCTTTCTCCTCTTTCTCATTGCAAGTTTAATATTTAAAATCTTTTGCCGTTTGGCTGGAATATTAATTTGAGCATAATGTGCTATGGACTAGGGCTGAAGAGGAGTGGGAAGAGTTGTAGACTGAGGTGGGTTAATTACCTGAGGCCTGACCTCAAGAAAGGGCACATCACACCAGAAGAGGAGCGCCTCATTGTGGAGCTGCATGCCAGATGGGGAAACAGGTTAGGGATTTTATATATTTTTATTTATCCATTTGTCCTGCATATGAATTATTTATATATTGGGTGACATTATGCTTGAGGTGCTCATAATTAAGCTTCTCTACTTTGCAATATGCGGTATAAGCACATATGAAAATGACGTATTTTTTAAACTTATTACAAAACTTATATATAATAATCATCACCATCTTTTTCCAAGTATTTTTCAATCCAACATTGTGTTTTATCAAGGGTCATACCTTCAGTGTGGCTATAAGTCCCTGTATCTGTTCTCTCTACTTCTAACTATGTTCTTTTGGGTATACCCATTACCCTTTTTGAGCCTTCTACGTGAACCAACTTATACTACAGGGCATACTCATTACCTTTTTTGAACCTTCTACTTGAACCAACTTACACTACAATATATGTGCACAAAATTAAATTTCATAATTTAGAATTTTTTAAAAAAATCTTTTCAGGTGCAAAAACAAAAAAAAGCAATTCTCGTGATAAGATCTTACAACATCACCGTAAGTGCCATCAACATTTGCCATATGCATTTGTATCTTTCATAAATTTGTGGACAATTATCATATTACAATATTGTCTTACCTCATAATTGAAGCAACGTGGCTTAGAACATCATACTTGTTTATGTCATTCTTAATCAACCCACACAAAGAGAAGAAAGAGACCGGTACATCCAAGCATTTCTCCACTTTTTCACATAGCCCATAGCTTGGAGGGAAATGACAACCACAACCAAACTAAAATTCACCCTTTCTTTTTTCCTTCTTTTAAAATTTTGTAGGTTATTTTGAGAACTTGGTTACTATTAAAAAAAGAATATTTTTTTGTATTTTGTGGGAGTGGAACTCTTAATATTGTGTGGCACCTGACACCTTGACTACCCAGCCTAGAGGTCATTCAATATTTCTTTATCGGTAATCTTTTAATAATATTTTCCCATATTTATAATCATTTTGTATTCATCTTCTTCTTCAATCCTTCACAGGTGGTCCACAATTGCTAGAAGCTTGCCTGGTAGAACTGATAACGAGATAAAAAACTACTGGAGAACCCATTTCAAGAAAAAAGAAAAAACTCGAGAAATACCAAAAAGTAGAGTTCCACTACAACAACAGCAGCTGCAACAACTACAGCAGCAAAAGCAAAGGATGAGCATCAACAAGATTTTGAGTCAATTTGGAGAAGATGAAACCAAGTCATCTCTCCCACAAATGAAGCCAGACATGGTTTGGATACTCCCCACATGTGAAGAGCAATTCCTCCCTTTCATGTTCCTCGGCGAGTCTACCCTTCCCCCAGAGCCCTCCAGAGAGGAGGGCGTCTGGGGCGGCCTTTGGAACCTAGACGACGGCGACGATGTGACAAACACGTATGCCGCAAGCAACATTATGGCACAAAACTATGCCGACCACAATCCTTTTGGTCTTCCAACCTACTGAGAGAGAGAGAGAGAAAGAGTTCTAGTTGAATTATGTTGGTCCCACAAGAAGAATAATTCTTCTTGGGTTCATAGTTACATAAGATTGGATCGAGAAGAGTTTTTAAGTGACTTGGATTTGTATTAATAAAGATAACCATTAAATATTATTTCATATTTTTTAAGTATGAAGTACGGCTGCTATGTGGATGGTTATTAAATGATGGATTTTTGGACCAGAAACTTAGACATTTTCCTTTAGTACTTGTTATTAAATTTTGTGATTAAGGTACTCGTGTCGCCTAAAATTTTCTTGCCCCTTCTTCTAACTCATAAGATTGATTGTTTCTTAAACTCGTATCCATGTCAATAGGTAAATCATTAAAAATTATAATTATCACTTACATTTTTAAAAGTGTTTTAGTGGAGTAAAATAATAGTAAGAGTTGGTCACATACTTCCTTTTTCAGTGTCTGAAAACACGACCCAGGAACGGAACCCGGCCATGGGTTGGGTCTGGGTAACTTGGAACCAGTTTGGGTAATTGGCTTAGACTAAGGAGGTCTCAACCGGGCTCAAAAGTGTTAAACAAGTTTAAAAAATCCAAAAAAAGATCCAAAAATATGAAAACTATGTTTAAACAAAATCAAATGAACGGAAAATAGATTTTGAAAATCAAATTATGCGAGGGGTATTCTAAAAAAAATTTAAAAAAGATGGGAAAAATGCAAAAATAAGTATTTATGGTCGAACTACTTCCCCATATTTTCAAAAACAATAGAAAAATAAAAAAAATATCTGCTACAAATAAATTTCTTATTTTTTTAGATTTTTCTAATTTTTGTTTTTAAATTCAAGTTCCTAGCTTGACCACCCTAACTAGCCAAAACCTGTCATGGCCCTCGACCGGTGTCATGTAACCCGGCTGGGTCCCGGTCAACCCGACCGGTTTTGCAAACAATTTGCTCATTTCTACTGCACCCAGGTAACTTATCCCACAACAAAAAGGCGAGGAAATCTGGGAAAATAATTAAGAAAATAGATTTTTTTGGTACAACCGCACCAAATTCCCTTGGTTCCACACATCAAATATTTCGGTGGATTTGATGGACCCCAAAACATTCTTGTGATCGCTTTTAAAATAAAAAATGAAAGGTATTGGAGCTCAAAAAGTGCCCTATCCAACGACTGAAATTGGACCGTTTATATTGATGGGCTTGGATCGAAGGGATTATGAGCTTAAAACAAGTGTGTTTTATTCGTTTTGCCCATCAAATATGTTTTTGAGCTCATATAAAACCCTATAAGTAGGTATTTTGGCCAAGCACCAGCACATAAAAAATCATTTAAATGAATAGTACAAACACTAGGAGTCCATTAAACTTGAAAGAAAATGTTGTGCGTGAGTCGGCGGGCACATCGTTCATCTTTAAGATAGACGTTGTAAAAAACCCACCAGCCTCTTAAAATAAATATAGAGTGTGGAAACATCTCTTATTCATGAACATCTTAGTATAGATCATTAATCCCTAAAATTTTGAATTAAAACCCATTTTTCATATAGAAACCCCATCCAAAAGAATCAAAAGGAAGGGAAGCAAAGTTCAATTCTAAGCATATAAAACTTGACTCAACAAGCATAACAGTAATCAAGCAATAATATTCTTTTCTATATGATTGTCGTTGAAGCTTGCGAAAACAACCGTGCGAGAAAACTACTGGATAAAAAAACAAACCAACGAATGCAAGCAAGAAAACATATGTGCATTAGCGCAACCACTTTCGCGCTAGCTGTTGCTTATTGGCTTTCAAGCCTATATAATAAAAACAAATTTTTGAAAAATACGCCACCAAAATGAACGTGAAAAAAAAAGCCATGGTATTACTTCTTGCCTCAATTTTTTTACAAGGAATAAATTAGTAAATATATTGTTATAACATGCAAAAGAAAAACTAAATCTATTTCATTACTCATTTTCATTAACTAGTCCGGCTGGCTATTTACCCTCTTGTAGAATTGAGTACCTAATTTTGAACAAACGCGTTGAAACAGACTAACACCCTATGATATACTGTGAGTTTGGTACATTGTTAGGCAGGTTGACTTGGTCAACCTTCCATAGTCAAGTATCTTTTTGATAATAATATATTCAATTGTAATGTCCTTTTACTAATAATTATATTCAATTCTAATGATTTCAAAGTTTCCTCTCTCCATCTCAATCCCTTTTAGTGGTTTACAGTGATATTTCAAGTGAAAAACAACAAGAGAGAATCATTTTACTCCTTGTGAAAAACAACAAGAGAGAATCATTTTACTCCATGAAAAGATCATTTACCTGCTTATCCTTAAGATTTTTATACATCACTCTGTGCTTTTTTATTAGACATACGTGAAATGAGTCCAAAGTTTGTGATCGAAAAGATTTATTCTTATTATTTATGATTATTATAATTGGGTTTAACCTTTCAAGAGTCCCAGCATTGGGTGGTCAAACTAGGAATTGATTCAAGCCCTAGAAAGGGTTTAATTTTCACATAGTTTATTGGATGGCATCCACTTGAGATCAAAAGGTCGGTTGCTTGTCTCCACTTTTGATGGATTTGCATAAGCAAGCAGGGAGATGCAATGAGGTGTGGGATCTTTTGGTTGTCATCCAAACCAACAATTCGCGTGCTTTGTTTTGGCTTTGTTTATAGACACGCAGGGTCCCACGTAGGGCTGGTAATGGGCCCGGCTCCATGTTCTAGCTCAAAAAACTAGGGCTCAGAGCACAAAATGTAACTTGAGGGCTGAGTGGGGCCTAGGCCTGGCTGACAATACCAGGGCCAGCTCGACTGACATTGTATTTTCCTTTCATTTTTTCAATTTCTTTTTGTGTGTATCTCATTAAGCCCGAACTGGGCCTAAGGCTTGGCTGGGTAGGGCTGGCCATATAGGGACCCAAGCCGGGCTTGGGCCAGCCGCTGCCTCGGCCTAGGCTTGCCCTATTGCCAGCCCTCCCACAAGGCCTTAAGCTGAACATAAAGAGAAGAGTTATCACTGATAAGATGGTTGGTCTCCGCTAAGACTTTTGATTTGACTAGTTTGGTCTAAAGGAAAGCTTTGATGCGATCAAGAACCCGTTAAAATGAACATTTGAATGGTTGTTTGGTCAAATTAATCGGTTTTACCATATTGATTGGTCACTTTTTTAATATGACTTATTTTTAAATTATTCTTCATATTTTTTATCAATTCAATACCCAGCCAATTAGTTCAACCACTGATTTGAATAATTTTGAATTAGTAGTCCAAATGATTTTGACTGGACTAGACACCCTAACTTAGTTTGATGTCTTGGAGAGAGTGCTCTCTTTATCTCTATATGAAATTACTTAAGGTAATTGGGAAAATACCACTTAAGGGCTAAAACCAGTGTAGAAAAAATCTAACTAGAATGATTAACCGGACATGGGGCCGAAGCAGATTCAATGGGTCTAACTGATAAAACGGTTAGCTCAATCGCTTTAACTGGGCAAATCCTAGGCGAACAAAAAAGTGTTAAAAAAAAATACAAAATACAAAAAAATAATAAATATAAAAAATATATTTAAAGAATGATTAAACAAATCACATCCAAGAGAAGTTGAGAATTAATGAAAAAATGGACTCCAAAGAATCGATTTGTGCCAGGGGTACTTTTGAAATTTTCTAAAAAAGATGAAAAAATATAAAAATAAGTATTAATTGCCAAATCAATTTCCAATCTTTGCTATAATGGTGAAAAAACTTTAAAAAATGAATTAATAAACAAAATACCTTATTTTTTGGGATTTTATACAATATTTTTAAAATACCCGGCCGGTTACCAAAACCAGCTGAAATCGGAACCGGATACTGGCCGGTTTCGATCTACCCAGGCGGTTCCCGATTAGACCATCTGATTTTTCCTCCAATAGCTATAAATATAGTACAAAATTATTAAAGAGCTCAAAAGATCCCATTTACTACAGCAGGGTTTAATTTTTAAGTTTCATTTCATGAGGGTGCAATTCAACCAAGAATAATCAGGGATATTTTAATAATTTGAAAAAATTAACAAATTTTTTGAGGAGGCACCAGATCTTTTCATCCTTTTTATAATTTTGTAAAGTAATTTGAGGCATTTAATGATATTTCTCATAGATAAATAGAAAAAAAGAAAAGAAAAAAAGGAGCTTTCTATCTCAAAAAGCATGCATAACTTGTCCAAGACCTTCACACTTTTTAAAAAAAACATGTGTAATATCTCATGAGATACCTAGACAACCATTCTTCTATATGAGGTTTCTAACTTGAAAAAGAGTTAGAAATCTTGTTTTATGTGAAGGATTCACATACACCATATGAATGGTAACCTTACTCGAAAAGGGTATTCACTTGGAGACCATAATGCATCTATGACTCAACCAGTTGACCAATGCTTCAAATTGACTGTCTTGACCATTTTCAGTTTTGATTACATTGGATTTCACTGAGGTCAAATGTTTCTTAAGTGAAGTAGAGCATGTACTTACTCCATGAAAATATCATCTACCAGCTTATCCTTGGTTTTATGCCATTACCTTGTGATTCTTTTTGACCGTGTCACATGAAACTCAACTCCCACAAGGTCCAAATTTGTTCTTATGATTGATAAGAATTCTTCTCATTTTTATTATTGTTATTTTGTGTTTTTATAGACACCCCACATTTGCTAGTCAAAAGAAATACTGATTGAAACTAGATATTAATCAAGTTTAACATAATTTAATTATCTCAGTTGGTTTCCTCTTAGGATTAGAAAGTCTCTCATGCTTGTCTCCCCATTTCATTAAGATGTTAATCATCAAGTATTTAATGGCAAGATCTTTTGTGTGTGTGACCCAAACCCACAATTCGCATGCTTTGGTTATTTTCTCATATCTGGACAGGTAGAACCCCTGTGTCCCTTGTGTCCGACAAGCACACCCACTTGGAGTGATAGACAGAGCATCAAAGGAATAAATATACCTTTCCAA